GGGGTGGGGGTGGGAGGTTTAGAGGGGGGAGGGAAGGGTGAAATGGAATCTTTTAATCATTGAGTTTTGGTATGAGTGTTTGGCACTAGTAACACAATTAGGTCAAATTATAACGGCCGATTTTAGGTTTAGTGAGAGTTTGAGGGTACTTACAACGAAGATCTTAGGTGATCATTGAGAGTAAGGCACAAAAATGGAGAATAGAATTTTACGACACTTGCAACACAATTTGGTCATTTTTTAAGTTCTGAAAATTAGAGGTGTTACTTGAGAATGAGAGTAGCAGGCAAATAAAAGGACTTGTCTTTGCTTGTGGTGGAGGTTTTGGTTTGTTTGTTTTTTGTTTTTTAAATTGTATTGTACTTGCAACACAATTATGTCATACAATAAGAGAGTAACACACAAAAAGAAAGAGTTTTACGTAGTCTAAAACAGCCGTATGCACTGCTCACAGCCGAACGCTCCGTATCCCGGACTCTAGCATGGAGATCATCAGGAGAGAATGCGTCGCTGTTTCGGGCTCTTCCTCTATACACGCGTGGCGTGCACACAAACGCACAGCATTCAGCTTTGTTGGTTTTCTGCCTCTTTCCCCTTTCAAAAATGTTCTAGTGAAGTAGCAAGGGGCGACCAGGGAGCGGACGCTAAAGAAGGGATCTTTAATACATGTATTAGCCCAACATGATCCCGAAATGAAACTTGTCTAACGACTACCTGTGTAAGACAATCACCAGTACAATTGGTCGCTTTTAAGCGCAAGGGGGCTATCCCGAAAATGCTGTTTTGAGAAAATCGAAGGTAACGTTTTTGCCCCTTGTTCAGTTTCTGTAAAATACAAGAAGAGTTTTCTCTATAACCAAACAAATATACACACCAATGAAACCAAACTTCTCCTATAGGTAGGACATTGCCAACTTTTGGTGTAGGTCAAGGTTTCTGGAAACCCCCGAAATCTGGGTTAGCCCGCTTGTTCTTAAAAGCGACCAATTGTCCTCTTCCCATTTCCTCTCTTGGGTATAATGAAATGGTGAAATGGTACAGGTTTAACGCCCCCATCAACACTATTACGTTATTTAAGAGGCAGGACCTCCGAGTTTAACGTCCGTCTCCGAAAGGACCAAGCCAAGAGGGGAAATTAGTGTACAGTGCCTTTTCCAAGGACACAACGTCGGACGGAGCTGAGGCTCGAACCCCGAACCCACTATCTCACGATTACGAGTGCGGTAGCTTAAACATTAGACTACCGAAGCCACTCCCTAGGATATTTCTTACAACATGACACTGTGTAAACGACCTCCTGTCTGAAACGTTCACTTTCCTTCTCGATAATAGGCGACCGTCTTCGACAATTTCAAGTATAGACGTTACCTGTTTCATCTCTATGATTTCTGGCATGCTGATGTCTGACCAATCCGAGAGCTCGGACTCGCGGAGCGGGGTCATGGGGTGCCATTTATGGCCGGCTTTGGACTTGAGGGACTGACCCTTCCTGGTGGCCGGATGTGACGTAGGGTCGTGTATGGAGCCGTAGACCGGCTGGACGGTGGATTTGTCTGAAAAGAAAAACAAAACAAAACCGGTCGTATAGATAGTTTTAAGCCCCAACAAATTGGACAGAAATAATGAGAAGAATGTATAGCGCATAACCCCGCTCTACAACAAGTTATATGCGCTTTACACTATAGTATTACCCAGCAGACCATAGAACATGACCACCGTTATGAAAAGGAGAAGATGGAGATGGATTTGACACGTTCTGAGAAGAGAACCAGACTCTATTGTGAAGACTGCCCTCCAGTGGACAACCGAAGGACGTCGCAAGAGGGGCAGACCCAAAGTGATCTGGAGACGCACTGTAGAGTCTGAAATGAAGTCCTGGAATCATTCGTGGGGAACGCTGACCAAGATGGCCCAAAACAGACAGAGCTGGAGATCCTTTGTTGCTGCCCTAAACGCCAGATGGCGTAATGAGTAGTAAGTAAGTAAGTAAGACCATAGAACAATCCGAAACATTCTCAGCTTCCCGGGAAGCATACAGTGCAAGCAGCTGATTAAGCGCTCAAACACTAGCAAACTGACAAGATCTTTCGCTCTAGCCGGGTACCCATTCCCACCTGGGTGAAGTGAGGAAAATTCGTGTAAAGTGACTTTCCCAAGGACACAACGTTGGGTCCTTAACGGGATTCCAACCCATGAACTTACGGTTGCAAGTCCGAGAGCCTAAGCACTAGGCCACCGACGCCTCATTACTGTTACAGAACTATTTTGTCCAAACAGAATAAGTATATCACAATATTTTCGCCAGAAGATTAGTGGTGGTCGTGGAAGTGCTGTTGTAACTAACCAGTGAGTCCGAGTCAAGGGTTTAGGATCGAGAAGCAATTTGTATCTGTCTGATCTAAGCTGTGGGTGGCAACAGATGTTTCCCATGATCGTCGGTTAGCAATGTTTTATTGTTATATATATATATATAACTATGAGATAGAGAGACACAGAGATAGATCAGAGAGACACCGATTAAAGAGAGAGAGAGAGAGAGAGAGAGAGAGAGAGAGAGAAAGAGAAGAAGAAAGAGAGAGAGAGAAAGAGAGAGAGAGAGAGAAAGAGAGAGAGGGAGAGGAAGAGAAAGAAAGAGAGAGAGAAGAAGCGGAAAGAGAGAGAGAGCGGGGGGGAGAGAGAGAAGGAAAAAGAGAGAGAGAGAGAGAGAGAGAGAGAGAGAGAGAGAGAGAGAGAAAGAGAGAAAGAGAGAGTGAAGAGGAAGAGAAAGAAAGAGAGAGTGAAGGGAGAGAGAGAAAGAGAGAGAGGGGGGGGAGAGGAAGAGAAAGAGAGAGAGAGAGAGAGAGAGAGAGAGAGAGAGAGAGAGCTATGATGACGATTATGATGCTCCTGAGAAAGCCTACGTGGCGAAACGTCGAGTCAATTCAATAATACTAATTTTAAACATTTTGTATGTATATGTTTTGTCTGTCAATCAAGCTAGACCTTCCCTTACCCACTCTGCTTTTCAAACAATGACGATGATGCTGATGCTGATGATGATGATGATGATGATGATGATGATGATGATGATGATGATGATGGTTTTTTTAATTTAAAAAGAATATGATGATATAAGTAAAAGGGTCGAGAACGACATTGATAACGATGATTATGATAATGATTATGATGATGATGATCATGATGAAGATAATGGTAACATGATGACATAAGAAAATGGTAATAGTAATGATGACGACAATGACAATCACGAAGATGTTTTATAAATAATGCTAGGTTGTTGGGGGTTTTTCGTCTCAAATCTCACCTGGTCGACTGGCATACTGGCAGGGACAGTAGTCGTAGAGCCAGCAATGAGGACTCAGGACACACACCACGATGATGAGGACGAGGAGGAGGAAGAGAGCCACGCAGACGACAATCATCAACTTGTCCCACTCATCCAGGTCGATGGTGACCTCAGGGGGCGCTGCCGTGGTGGTGAGG